TGAGAGTCTGACAGCGTGGATATACGTTAGGTTCAGTGTGAAACATCCTGAGCTGACGGTTGAGATGCTTTTCCCACCAGCCTGCTGTCTCGTCCCCCTGCTGCTCTTTAACTGTGTTGATTCTGGTGAGTTGATGAGTGTTCCACTGAATGTGATGATGGACTTTATGGTTAGTAAAAAGTTTAAAGCGCAGTTGTTTTATAAGTGTGGCAGAAGTTTGTGCATTCATGAATACTTTGGGAACAGACAGAAACTTGCAGCTTGTGCTCTGAGCATGCCCAGTAGGTTCTGAAACCCTCTGGGTCTGAGTTGTGTCGGGGTGCTTGGACCTCATTGTACTTGGTTTAACAACGTCTGTAGTCCGGCTAGACGAGATTAGAACAAACCAAACGCTGGTGGTGACGGTGAGTCTCCTGGGAAGCTACTGTCAGATTGTTCCTGAAATAGATCATGGATTTTATCAGCTGTGTCAGTGACATGAACATCAAAGTATGCATGCTGGAATATAGGATATATATACCTGTTTTTTTTCTCGCTCGTTCAGCCAACAGAGCTGTGCAAGAATGGATCTTCAAACCCTGAGCCTTGCCTTTGCACAAACTAAACACCGGGCTCGTACAGTCGTCACACTCTTAATTGTTCCTTTCTTCCGGCAGGTCGGGTTCTGAGGACGATCAAGGAGCGTTTGCGGGATCTCCAGCTGCAGAAGAACAAGCAGCTTGTCCTGACGCTCGCGGCCGACGGGCGGCAGCCTCTGCAGCGTGTAAAGGAGGCCTGGATTCAGCAGCCTCTGGATCACTTCAACCGGCAGAACGTCAACACCTTCACTCAGGTAGAGGAGATCAGGCAAAGATCCAAACCAAGGCAGTCGGGTGTAAAATAAGGGAAAAGAAGAAAACAAATTGATGCAGAACAAGCAAGCGTTTGATTCTCTTTGATAAGGAGGTGGAATAATTCAACACTACATCAAGGAATATCAGTGTTTTAACCATTTATTCAACTCAAATAGTAGAAAACGGAACCACAACCTTGGCATCACAACTTACTGTCGCCACCTTCAGCAGAAATCTCCTCTTTCTGCAGAATTGTCCACCACTTCTGACATCAGTTTGCTGTAATTTCTGACCCCTCTTTACGCCTGTTCGAGGGTTTTCTTGCACATGCTGCCTGTTCAACACTTCAGTGGGATTCAAATCTGGCCTGTGACTGCATTTCTTCACACGACGCTCGACTATAAAAATTCAATGTCACGATAAAAGAAATCTTCCATCCCTTAGATCTTATATCCTACAGGAGAGCCATGTTTTATTTAAAGCATCAAATAAGATGCCATCATGTTACTTCTGAGGATTGTTTTGACTGCAGTACGTTTGATTAAAGCGTTTCCCTGTCAGCTTCAGTCACAGTAAAATAAGTCGCCCGTCCCACTGAACTCTGCAGCTTTCAGTTTGTTCTACAGACCAGAGCAAGCGAGCGCTGCATCCAGAGAAAGCAGGATCAGCCTTTTTATTACTCGAAATCCACCAGGCAGCGACAAGATGACGTTTCCTGACAACATGAATTGAAATGTTAAGCTTCATTTAGCTCTCACAGCCAATGTGCAAATGTGTCCACTGGAGCTTTCAGTAAAGGATTACTCACTCTAAGGCCATGATTGTGAACTACTGCTGGTTTGGGTGAACTTGAATAAACTCTTCTTTCTTTTTGTCTTTGTGTTTGTGACGTCCAGAGGTTTTTTGTGAACGAGGCGTACTGGCAGCGTCCTGATGGTCCAGTGTTTCTCTTCATCGGAGGAGAAGGGCCCATCTTTGAGTTTGATGTTCTGGCAGGTACTGAAAGATGCAGCACATGTCTTTACCTGTCCACACCTGCACTGTCTAAAGTCAGATAGGCAGACAGCACATGCTCAAACTGTGAAGCAAACATCATTAGTGACATTATAGCTTTTGATAGTTATGATATTACCATCCATCCATCATCTCTACACCTTAATCCTCACGAGGGTCATGGGGGGCTGGAGTCTATCCCAGCTGACTTAGGGTGAAGGCAGGTTCACCTGGACAGGTAACCAGTCTATCACAGGGCTACACTTAGAGACAGACAACCAAGCACACTCACATTCACACCTACGGACAATTTACCTCAGCGAGAATCACCAATTAGAACCTAGGAGAGAACCCACATCATGGAGACTCCACGCAGAAACATCCCAGGTGTCCTCACCGGGACGCGAACCGGCGGCCTTCTAGCTGCGAGGCAGTGGTGCTAACCACCGAGCCACCTTGCATGATATTACCAAACTCTGTTCAATCTGCTGACTCCCTCTCAGTCTTTAAGAAACGACTAAAGATCAGCTCTTGACTGAACACTTTCACACTTGACAGACTGAAAACAAACAAACAAACCACAAAAAACAAAACAAAAATGTTCCTATCACCTCCCACACAGCCTGCTATTGGCATCAACACCCTACCACACTTGAACTTATCTGTAGCTCTTATCAAGATTGTTTTTTCCTCATTTGATCTTTGCTTGTGTCGTATCTGCTCTCAGATGTATGTCGCTTTGGATCAAAGCTAAATGAAACTGTAGAATTTTGAACTTCTTTTTGCTCGAAATCATGAGGTTCGTACCCACCTACTCAAATGTTAATTGAGATAGTAAAAATACATTTAAGCCTGGTGACCCCTGAACCACAGAATCATGTCTTTTGTGATTCAAGGAGATGTGAATACCTTAACAACACCTTCTCTGCACATTGTAATGATTTAATATATAATTAAAAGGGTAATTAAAGATTAAAATTAAACATATTCATCATTGTTAGACAGTGGTTCAAAGCTCAACTCAGAGGAGATCTAATAAACAAGCTGTAATGATAACAAATGAACCCCTGACATCTTTTTTCACTGCCCTGCTCTCAGATTCTTACCTTTACACACCTGTTGGGCATTGACGATGTTGATCACACATTTTAACTTCTTCATTCACTTTCAATCTTCTCACACACTGCAGCTGCATTTAAAACGATGAAACCCTGCTGCTCCCTGCATCTTATCTGTTCTGAACATATTTCCCCAGGTCACCACGTTGACATGGCTCAAGAGCACGGGGCGCTGCTACTGGCTCTGGAGCACCGTTTCTATGGCGACAGCATCAACCCCGATGGCCTCAGAACGGAGAAGCTGGCAGACCTGAGCAGCCAGCAGGCGTTAGTGTCGCTCTCCACCAGTGTGTGTGTGTGTGTGTGTGTGCATGCATAGGTGCACAGCTTATTTCCTCCCCACTTCCTCATTGCATATGTATGTGCATCTGTCTTTTTTTTTTTTTAGTTTCTTTATATTCATTCACTTGTTTCTCTTCGTACATGTGCGATTTTATATGTTTGAGTGTTTAGTGTGCCTCCAATAATCCAGTTCATCACATCACAAGGGAAACAATGATCCAACAGTTGCATCATAGTTGTTGTTGTTGTTGTTGTTGTTTTTAGCATATTGTGTATTATGGGTACCTCCCAGCCAGTACAGGTCTGAACACTAATCATAGTCATGGACATAAGAGCATTTCCTGTCCAAAGAAAACATGGTCCAGAAAAGTCTATCAAGAAGAAAGCGCTAGTGTGTTTTTACAAGTGTGCCTCTGCCTGTTTGTGCATCTATCCACGGTATGTAAGTGCCAGAGGTACTGATTTTTGTATTCTGTTCTCTTTGGTTCAGGCTCACCGACTTGGCTGTGTTCCACCAGTACATCAGCCAAAGCTTCAATCTGACTCACAGGAACACTTGGATCAGCTTCGGAGGCTCGTACTCCGGAGCTCTGTCCGCCTGGTTCAGAGGAAAGGTCGGACATGGCATCTCTGGAAACATCCAAAGTTACAGAAAGCTTAAACACACGGCGCCTCACAAACAAACACTAATCCTGTAAGAGACAGAGACGGATTTTTTTTTTTAATCTTCAGTGGAGTCCTAACTGCTCCGAATCAGCACACAGAGTCGTCTCTCAAGTCAAAGCAAGGAGCCAACATGCACAATACAGATTCTGATCAAGTGACTGACTACAAACATGAAGCATCGGTTCTTACATACAGACAGTTAACAGAAAACAAATGGGTGTGACTGGTGTTTTGACTTCCTGCTAAGAACATCATTGCCCTTATCTCACACTCACAAGGTGAAAAGAACATTTACTGCATTAACTCACAGACTTTTCCCAAAGATCATTGCATCATAACACAGAATTATTAAGAATTTACTCCCTTCCATCCTAAAACAACATTTATCCAGCCAGACACTGTGACCGTGAGAACACGTATGAAGAGATTATTTGTGTTTGCGCTGCATCATTTTACAAAAACGTATCACATGAAAATCTCTGCATTGAAACCCGCTGATAAGAATCAGAGAGCAGAGTGTGAGTCATCTGTTTCTGCAGAATTGTTTCATAAGGTCGCTCTTTTGCTCACATCTCACAGGAGATAAGAGAAGACGTACTGAATCTCCTTTTAAATAGCATATGAATTCATCACCTGCTGTCGTGGCTGCGCTCAGAAACTCCCGGCTGAAAAAAAAAAATGTTTGTCTCCACATATGAGACACGGAGTTCATCCAGTGCTCCTATTAGTTTTCCTATTGTTGCGAATCCTATGAAAAGCCGTATTAATCCGTCTCTCAGTGATTTCTGTCGTCCGTACTCTGTCTGCAGCTCGTTCTATACTAAAAATAGAAATTTGCAATTGGGTAGGTTTCTATGGAAGCCCATTTCCAACAATATGATGGGAAAAAAAAGTCCTGTAAGCTCATATAATGACATTGTAACGTGAAGCTTTCCTGAAATAATAATTTAGTAGCTTTGAATAGAGAGAAATGTTCTCAAAACTTGCAAATGTCTTTTTCCTCCTACGTGCCAAAGCAACAGAAGCTTGCAGACCCAGACGGAAACCACCTTTAAAGACTGAGACGTGAATTCACAAACCGTTTGTGGTTTTGGTGGAATCGCACAGCATCAGATTAAGATTCCAAACTGCAGAGAGAAAGCTGCAGAGGGACCAGATTTACTAAGACAGATGAAGCTGAACTGCCATCTTTCACTGACCAACAGCTGCAAACATCTGGCAAACAGCACGGCTGCAGATGGATGCACCAGAAGTGTTGGATGGCCGAGATAGCTGCTGACAGAGGAGCTGTGTCAAACGATGTGACTGATTTCTCTGAGATATGAACTCCTTATTTCTAGAAAGTTTCCGATTATATTCGTTTACAGGATCTTTTTTTGTTGGCAGGAATGGGCTTCCATAGATTCACCAAGCGTCAGATCTGTGGAATCCCAGTTAATTGTGCATCTGTTGGCATGTTTACTGTAAATATTGTGTCAGTGAGCAGCATGGGGTGGCTCAGCGATGCGTACGACAAGCTTTAGATACACAGACGCATTTTTCTTTGTGGGATTTGTTTATTGTTGGTGTCGATCTTCTCGTATCTTAATCCTCCTCAATATCCAGTCTTGTGTTGCTTGATGCATTTTTTTTCTCTTCATACACATCGCAAGTGAGAAAAACAACAAATTATGAATGCATTTGTCTATATTATGTAATTTAAGCTCTTGGTACTCTTCTGTTTTGCCTCCGACTGCAGTTTCCTGGTCTGGTGTATGGGGCTGTGGCCTCCTCTGCTCCGGTCAAGGCAAAGCTGGACTTTTCTGCCTACAACAATGTAAGCTGGCACAATCCATGGTTACAGTATTAGCATCCTACCAACATTAGACAAAGAAACCAAAGCTTTAAGCAAACAATAAGAATGACACAAAGAAAAAAACTCAAATGTTAACAGCTGATGCACTTTCTTTAAATTTCCACCGTTGAGTATTATTGTCTAAATGCTGTTTCCAAGCTGTCTCTAAAAATCAATAGCAGTAAAAAATAATTACGAAGACACTTTTTTATTTTCATTTTGAACTATTTTCTGTGCAAAAACAATCTAATTTTAAGAAACAAATTCTAAAATCCTCTTCTCAGGCTGTTAAACAAATAAAAAACACGTTCTTCCCCCTCAGTGTCCTCAGGTCTACCTTCGGCTCTGCACACGGAAACATAATTTGATGCTAATTCTGATTCTGGTTTCCTTGTCACTCACACATTTGACACTTCCTGTGTTTCAGGTCGTTGGCTCGGGGTTGATGAATGAGGCCGTTGGAGGTTCAGAGAAGGTGCGAAGGCCACCACCTGCCTGTGCATCGTATGACAGTCATTAAACCCTGTCTGTTGCCGTTTCTGTTGAATTCCCTCTCATCCTCTTTTTTGCAGTGTCTGGCTAAGGTGCGGGAAGCGTTTGCTGCGGTGGAAGCAGCGCTGATGGGTGGAAACGTCAGCCAGGTGGCCAAAGACTTTGGCTGCTGTCAGATCCCCGAGGATCACGACGATCAGGTTTGTTGTTTTTCATGACGGGAAAGCTGTGAAAGCTCAGTAGTTGTTAGCTTTAACAAAGGGAGGCAGTGTAGCAGCTGGAGCACATTTTTATTTTTGTTTTAGTGAGGATTTAAAATGCATTCTTTAGCACCACATGCTGATGTAGTGAAACCTCCATACTTGATGGTTCTACATGTGACCACTAAACAGGACGTTGAACTGCATTACTGGACGGTGACGATAACCTACAGGTTGCACAAAGCAACTAAATCACCGGTTCAAACCCTTTTCACGGTCCAGGTCAACATCTAGATTTTAAAATTGCATGTGCACTATTTATTAAAAAGACTAATTTGGTCACGTCTGCATTTTTACTGTAGGATGCAGATTGGTAGACATTTCACAACACATCTCTGCTCAATAGGTTACTAATTATAACTCTCATTTGCATTTGAAGTGTAGGTGTTGCATATAATTAATCAGATCATTACTTTTAAACATGTTTTCCATGTTAGACTAGAGTTAGACTGACTTTATTAATCCCCAGAGGGAAAGTCAGTTGTTACACAGCAGCATGAATATTCAACAGAGGGCACAAACAAAAGTAAAAAGACGACACAGAATATTAGGGTATAAAATGAAGGTAAAATAAAATAAAAAATCTTGGCAATCAGTATCATTTACTCTTTATTTTTTGTATTCTTCTTCTGCTGTTGGATCAAATGTTCCCCAGTGGACCGTAACTCTCTTATCCTACGTCTTCGCTTCAGGTGGAGCTGATGCAAACCTTGGCCGACATTGTGATGGGAACGGTGCAGTACAATGAAGAAGGGGTGCTCATGTCCATCAGGGAGCTCTGCGGCGTCATGACCAACACCAGCGATGAGTATGAGGAAGAGATGGAAGCCTACACCCGCCTCGTCAAACTGTCACAGGTATGGAACACCCGAAGGCCTCTGTTATCTCGTGTCATGCTCAGATTTCACCACCGGGTGTCACTGCTGAGCTGTTTTCATGAGTTCAGCACAAGCGAAATGAAAAGGTGTAATCACTGGGGATTTCTTTTATTTGAAGAGACATACAGCTCCCAGGGCAGGTGCTTTTCTTTTAATGTTTTATGCGTGTTTCTTTTGTGTGTGTGTGTGTGTGTGTGTGTGTGTGTGTGTGTGTGTATGTGTTTGTGCACTCTGCAGGTCTACCGGTCCACCAGTGAGGAGTTGTGTATGGACGTCTCCCACGAGAAAACACTGAAGGATCTGATGGACACGTCTGTCCACTCTGGCAGGAGAGCAGAGAGGCAGTGGACCTACCAGACCTGCACAGAGTTTGGATTCTGTACAACACACACACACACACACACACACACACATATATATAGTCAACCATCCTTCTTTCTGTCCCCTGAACCCCTTTTTCATGTGTGTGTAGATGAAACTTGTGAGGATGCTGCTTGTCCGTTCTCTGGGATGTTGACCCTGCACGCTCAGACTAAGCTCTGTACCGCGGTGTTCGGCGTTTCCCAGCATTCCCTGCCTGCACGCATCGCCTTCACTAACAATTACTACGGAGGAGACAACCCGCGCACACACAGGGTCCTCTATGTTAACGGTGAGACAAAATCATTACAATCACAGCAAGTGAAAGAGGAAGCAGAGCAAAGCATCACCAGTAAGATGCAGCTGTAATCAATTCTTCTGGACAATGAAGTGACCTCTTGTTCTCTCCTTAGACTAGAGAGCGGTGGTGAGGGACCGTATTGACTTTAAAGTCTGTCTCATCACTGCCACAGGTGGGATTGACCCGTGGAAGGAGCTGTCAGTGGTCCGGGACGGGACCGAGGAAGGAGAAGAGGCTCAGACAGTTTTCATTAAGGACACTGCTCACTGTGCAGATATGGCGAGCAGAAGGTTCACAGACCGGCACTCGCTCAGGAGAGCCAGACAGGTACAGCATGCACACCTCACGTCATCACAAACCGGTAGAGCCAATCAGAAACAATCCTCAGCACAAGGTCCTCTTTTGTTAACGTCTCTGTTGTTGTGACAAACCTCCACAATCTCCATGACGACTGAACAAAGTCTGTCTGCTGATGAAGATTTTATAAAGGACCGTTTCTGAGGTCACTCCTTGGAGCATCATTCAGATACCAGTCGGGGTTGTTGCTGCATTAAAGGATTAGTTCACCTCTTTCTACGTCTGACTTACAACAACACTCACAAGCTGTGTGTGCTTTGAAAGAGTCGTCGGTTTGCTGCCTTTCCTACTTGCTCCTGATGCTACTTCAGTTTAGGAGACAATATCTGCAGGCCTCATTCTGTTTAGAAACGCATTTAAATGAAAAAACCAAACCTGAGGCGATTCTTTTACTTTCACCTCTTTTTGTCCCTCGTCTGTACTTAAACAAGAAAACACTTTCCAGGGAAACAGGAAGAGACTAATTAACTCTTAAATTAAACTATAGAAGACTTGATTTGACCTTGAGGCTGCTTTCAGACCAACTTTAGCCTTCTGTGGACAAACTGCATCCGCCTCATTCATCAGGGCAGCGGGAGGGTCAACATGAAGGGCTCCAGCAGGGTTAGATTTCCACATTAACATCATCCATCCAGGTGTTGCACTGGCTTATCAAACTCATGCAATCACATGAACAACATTCAGTACTTCCACTTCTTACCTTATTACTGCTGAGATGAAGAAGGAGGGAATTCCTGCTCTAAAACCTTTCAGAGATGTAAAATCTTGTCTACCACGGTGCAGTTCAATGTTCATCCTTACACAGATCATCATGCTATCTGTGGTATACAGCAAGGTGACTAATTAAAGGAAAAAAAAATAACAAATGAGTAGAAAAACACAATGGATGCAGATAATTTAACACAGGTTTGGTACAGTTAAGCAGTTACGTCTGTGAAGATTCTCAGTCATCCAGGTCATGGTTGTTCTCGTAGTTTAATCGTAGCAGCTGGACCTGCTTGAGTTCCTTGAAGACGCTCCACCTCTCATCCAAGAGGCTTCATCAGCTCTGACTGACTAGTTGGGAGTTCCACATACTGATATCCTAAAGGAGCCATTAACACCTGAGTTGAGGTTTCAATTGGGGGTTTGCTGCTCTTCCCCCTCGTTATGTGGTTCGTTAGTGCTCCCCCTGCCACAGTGGAGTTCATTAGGGTCTTTTGTGGCTAGGTGTGGAGGTGGTTTCATCTTCCTGGGGAGAGATCTTAGGACTGAGCAGTAAACAGGTGAGGGGTGATGCCTCAGACCTCCACCTCTGTTGAGGGATGGTCTTTCCAGTAGATGTCTTCTTTCAGTCCTCTCTCAAACCATCTGTCCTCCCTGCTGGCCAAAATCTGTACATTGTTGTCTTCAAATGAGTGTCCTTTGTCCTTCAGCTGCAGGTGGACTGCTAAGTCCTGTCCTGAGGAGCTGCTCTTCTGTGTTGTGCTTGTGGACTGGTTATTTGTCTCCCCCGGGTGCAGGTCTGGGCATTCCTCGCTGCACTAGACTGCGTGTCCAGATGTGTGCCTCAGGTGTTAAAGGCTCCTTAAGGATAAAAGTATGTGGAACTCCCAACTAGTCAGTCAGAGCTGATGAAGCCTCTTGGATGAGAGGTGGAACGTCTTCAAGGAACTCAAGCAAGTCCAGTACAGAGAGGGATATTGTACTGGCACTGCCGGGCATAAATCCTCCTTACAAAGAAGACTGTTTGGTGGTGCAGGAACCACGACGCTGGTCTACAGNGGGTCAACATGAAGGGCTCCAGCAGGGTTAGATTTCCACATTAACATCATCCATCCAGGTGTTGCACTGGCTTATCAAACTCATGCAATCACACATTGCTGCTGGATTACTTTGCAACATGAACCACAAATCACTACTTCTCCTTCTTACCTTATTACTGCTGAGATGAAAAAGGAGGTAATTCCTGCTATAAAACCTTTCAGAGATGTAAAATCTTGTCTACCACGGTGCAGTTGAATGTTCATCCTTCCACAGATCATCATGCTATCTGTAGTATACAGCTAGGTGACAAATTAAAGGAAAGAAATGAATAAATGAGTAGAAAAACACAATGAATGCAGATAATTTAACACAGGTTTGGTACAGGTAAGCAGTTATGTCTGAAGATCCTCAGTCGTCCAGGTCATGGTTGTTCTCGTAGTTTAATCATAGCAACTGGACTTGCTTGAGTTTCTTGAAGACGTTCCACCTCTCATCCAAGAGGCTTCATCAGTTCTGACTGACTAGTTGGGAGTTCCACATACTGATATCCTTAAGGAGCCATTAACACCTGAGTTGAGGTTTCAGTTGGGGGTTTGCTGCTCCTCCCCCTCATTATGTGGGTCGTTAGTGCTCCTCCTGCCACAGTGGGGTTCATTAGGGTCTTTTGTGGCTAGGTGTGGATGTGGTTTCATCTTCCTGGGGAGAGATCTTAGGACTGAGCAGTAAACAGGTGAGGGGTGATGCCTCAGACCTCCACCTCTGTTGAGGGACGGTCTTTCCAGTAGATGGATTCTTTCAGTCCTCTCTCAAACCGTCTGGCCAAAATCTGTACATTGTTGTCTTCAAATGAGTGTCCTTTGTCCTTAAGCTGCAGGTGGACTGCTGAGTCCTGTCCTGAGGAGCTGCTCTTCTGTGTTGTGCTTGTGGAGTGGTTGTTTTGTCTCCCTCGGGTGCAGGTCTGGGCATTCCTCGCTGCACTGGACTGCGTGTCCAGATGTGTGCCTCAGGTGTTAAAGGCTCCTTAAGGACAGAAGTATCTGGAACTCCCAACTAGTCAGTCAGAGCTGATGAAGCCTCTTGGATGAGAGGTGGAACGTCTTCAAGGAACTCAAGCAGGTCCAGTTGCTACGATTAAACTACGAGAATAGCTAAGCAGTTGCCATCTAGTCGTGCTCTGTGTTTCTATAAAAATGCTGCCACTCCGGTTGAGCTGATTTTCTATCAAGACGGCGAGAGGAAAAAAAATCTGTGACTTTTAAGAAGTGTGTTTGCTGTTGGGACACAAATTGCAGGAGCTTCAGTTACAAAGATTGCTTCACTGGCTGCTATTAGAAAGGCATCAGGAAATAGGTTTGGAAATTAAGATTTAATATCATGAATGTGATGATTGTGCATTAGTGACATCTGGAAGGACAAAGAGAAGAGCAAAGCTTCCTCAGGTGTCTGAGAATCTGAGCAAGAACAGACCAACCATTACAGAGAGGGATATTGTACTGGCACTGCCGGGCATAAATCCTCCTTACAAAGAAGACTGTTTGGTGGTGCAGGAACCACGACGCTGGTCTACAGAGACGTGGGAAGAAGTGATATGGTCCAACTTCACCATGTTGTTCAGCAGTGTGGTGCACATCCACAGACTGTATATGAAAGATGGATGTAGCTTCCAGGTGGGAAAAGTGAAGCCACTGCAGACATCCTTTATAATGGCCAGCAGGGGGCGACTCAAAAAGATCAAACAAAAAGGTGTCTGATTACGCAGAAGTTCATCAGAAAATCACCCGACTTTCCCCTTGATCTGTTACCTCAGTAAACATTTTCTTAATAAGTTTATGGTCTCAGTTGTTAGTTTCAAGACTTTTTGAATACAGCACGGTTTTTATTTTGTAAATTAGGATCCCATTCTCGGTAAAACAGATGCTAAAGTTGGGTTTATTTCAAGTTTCCATCGTATTGCCGTGTGTGTCAGCCTCACGTCCAATTTTTAAAAACCAAGATGGTGTTGCCCACATTCCAAACTTGAGGCTTTAAAATGATAATCCACAAACCAACCTACGTTTATCTTTTATATACAACATATGCCAAAAGAACAGGTGAAGCCGTGCGTCCATATGTCTTCTGAGAAGGAAATCAAATCAGTACAACGCTGTCCAGAGTCATGAAACATATCCTATCGTTTTTTCTGATTTGAGTGATCTTTTCCAGGATGACAATAGCTCCATCTACAGGACACGAGGGCTCACTGGATGGTTTGAGGAAAATTATGTGAATCACTATTTCACAGTGGCCAGATTTAGACATGGTTGAGCATCATATGGGAGTTAGACAGCTTGCTCTACCACCATCATCTCATGAGGGACTATTTTTTGGAAGGATCAAGTATTTGAAGTGGAAATTTTTTTTCCTTTAACTTCGCATCCATTTATATATATTAATATTTTGGGGTTGGGTCTCATTACTGCCTAACGAATCACTTATTGTAATATCATGAATGACACATTTTAATCATCCCTCATCAAAATCAGCTTTAAAGCTCATCAGCAACCATAATTTATGTCTGAATGTGTGTTAGTTATCTTGATAAAGCACAAAAAAGACTGAAGTATACGTGTTCAGTGATTTCTAACACATTATTTTCCCATCTTTCCACCTCTCAGGAGATTGAGAAACACGTGGCGCGCTGGCTGAAGACAGCTGCCGAGGAGAAGGCGGAGAACAGAACAGTGTGATCACATCACATTACAACCTGATCGGCTCTTATCGCCTGAAACTGATAAGAACTAGTTAATAATCTGGCCTGCCTCTGCGCTCTGCTTCGCCCTCCATTTCCTCTCCCCGGCTCCCTTCACCCTCCATCTATAACCGTCTCAGAGCGCCGCAGCTGATCTGTGTGTGTGGTTTTAGCTTTGGTTTGATTTATTTCGACTTGTGTGTGCGTTTACAGATGTCCTTGCTGTGATGTGTTTGGATTAGCACTCAGTTTTAAATTATATTGGAGTTTGTTTTTTTTTTTTTTGACAGTTTCTGCTTCTACATTTATAATAACAATGGCTTGGTGGCTCTTTCCTACTTGTTCATTTTTGTGTGGTGCAGATAAAATAAAATGTTTGTTTTCGTGCGATTCATCAGTTGTCATAACCTTGTCGAGTCACTAGGGTGTGATATTGCTGCATAGGTGGGAAACCCGTTCCTTAAATCACTGCATATCAAAGTTCAGAGAGATTGAGCAGTGGTTTGGGATGAAATACAGTAAAGCTGCTAATCTGGAACATTTCGCTCCGTTGTTTTGGCGTCATTTTGGTTTGAATGTGAAATATGTCATCCGTATCAGTGGATGTTGTTGTGTTGGTGAGAGAAGTCATGACGAGATCGGAGGGTGTTTGTGAGAGAAAGGTGAGGAAGCACCAGTTGTCCCAAGGCCATCTGTTTCCTCGTGTGTGTGTGTGTGCGTGTGTGTGTGCCTGTGTGTGTGTGAACCTCTCTGCAGGGGGGTCAAAAGTGGGAGGTCACGACCCTGCTGACCCCGTGGGAGTGGAGATCATCAATCAACTGGAGGTTGGACAGAGCAGCAGGAGGGGACACACAAGCGCATGCAAACACACAAACACACACACACACATACCTTGGTACTGTAACAAACACTTGGAGTGAAATACACTAAAAGCACATCTGAATTACCGAAACAAGTAATTACCAGCCAGATTTCCAGACATTAATCATGTGCTTTACATTTCAGACACTCAGCTTCACACTTAAACACCTCTCAGGACATTTGCTGTTTGCCAAATCGGCTGCTCTTCGATAATATGCGTGCTTTCGTATTCATGGGAAACTCACAGAAGCCATCACACACCTCAGCACAGAGAAAGAGGGGGAAGATGGAAAGAGGGTGAGTAAATCTGAAACGTTTTTTCACTGCAGTGCCTCCATTTCGTCCAGTTTCTAACAGCCTTCATCTCTTTACTATAGTAAACAAGCACACACACACACAGACACACGCACACTTCCACAAAGTCCAGGAGCCACTATCAGGATTATCAGCCAGCACTTGCAGAGCGACAGGGCATGCTTTTTCTCTCTCCGCCATTCCTCCTCCTCCTCCTCCTCCTCCTCCTCCTGCTGCCTGTCCCGTTGATCAATGAGGAAGTTCTTGGGCCTCAACTATTAATCAGAGCCTATCGGCTATCTGTCTGCCGAGCCAACCAATCACGGCCCTCCGACAGCTGGGCCATGAAAAATGTGGCCTGGTGGATGGAGGGGAGGCTGGGGAGAAGGGGGAGGAAGGGTGGTGGCGGGGTCGTGCAGAAGAGGAGGGAGGTGAAGGAGCACTCTATCTGATCCAAGTCAGGTCACGGCTGCACAACTGCACTTAATGCACTTACAGTTGATTCTTAACATGGTGACGGCTGCCACACACACACACACACACACACACACAGAGACAACAGAGCAGCACTTTCATGGCTCATACATGCAGAATAATTCATTTCAATCGACACATTTGTCCCAGATTTACATTTCCATGCAGCCTTGCAGCGCCTGTCGCTTCCACGTGCAGGTGGACAGACTGACGATGTCTGACAGAAACCACAGCCAACACGGTGTTTTTCTGGAGCCTCTGCAGCAGAAAGCTCCCCAGTGACGACTACAACACCGTTGATCTGTTGTCCAATAACGAGGCCTGTCCCCGCACCTCAAAGCTTCATCAACACACCGCCATCCCTCTTCTGCATAATCACCAAACTCACACTCATCCATTCACATCTTATTGCCATGATTAGATTACATCTAATGCTATTACATCGCTCCCATCTCTCTCCCTCCTCTTTCTCGCTCTCCCTCATCATAGATTTCTTGCAGATCTTATTAGAGTGTGATGCGGACCAGGTCTCCCCCCCTTTTGGATTTATGAACCCTCAGACTTCTCTCCTTTAATCTCTCTGTCCTCCTCTACTCCCTTCCTGCATCTGTCCATCTATCATTCCCAGGGTTGGCTTGGGCGGAAGAGTATTAATCCCTCCGTCCCATCTCTCACTCCTCTGGGCAGATGAGGAGGTGGAGGAGGAAGATGGAGATGGGAGGAGGAGGAGGAGGGGTAGAAGGTTGGAGACCTCAGATTACTTTTCATAACATTTCTGTAGCATTGTGGGGGGAAAAAGTGAGGAGGCAGCGCAGGTGATGTATGCAGATTTACTCAGTGACAGGTCACGGCTTTGATACCTTCAACAGGTACGAGAATGAGCTGAAGATGCTGCAGAGGTGAGCGTGTGTGGGTGGAGTGCAGAGGCAATAACCACAGATGGGATGATAAACAACTTAGTGTGAAAGTGTGTGTGTGTGTGTGTCACCTTTTTGCATGTTTATTGGCTGACTTGTGGTGTGTATGTGTGCATTTGCCATAATGGGGTTTATGCAAAAATTTGTCTTGATGCAAAGCATGCTTTGCTTCAAAAAGGGCAACAGAGCTGCATCTTATTACCTGTTGATGCCTGAGAAACATACGCTTGAAACACACACACAAACAAAGCATGTTCGACAGAATCCAATAAGCTCGGGGAAATCAATTGGACGGATCAGGACGTTTAATAAGTTCAGTCCTTACAGGCCTAATTCTGTGAGGAAAAAACAGAAAGAAACAAATGCAGTGTTAAAAAAAAAGAAAGAAAAGAAATAAACCTTTGACCAGCAGTCAGGGTGAAGCCCACTCTTCCCCTCTGCCCCCCCTCCACATCCAAGCCTGTGCAGTGACAGGTAGATTAAGGGGCGTGATAGATGCCCCTCTCTGTATCTCCCTCTCTCCGTCTCCCCCCCTCCACCCTTTCCCTCCCCTCCATCCATCATGGCGGCTGGTGTAATTGCGGCTGCGTGGGGCTGGCAGAGGGAGCCTCCATCCATCTCCTTAACAACAAACAGTCACGAGGACGGATGGCGCTGCGCTCCCCAGTTAATCTCCATCTATAAGGGGGGCGGGAGGGGGAGGAGGAGGGATGGAGGAGAAGAAGAAAATAACTGAAGGGAGAAAGGTAGTGTTGGTCAAATGAAAGCAAAAAGAAATGGAGAGGGCGAAGGCAGAGCGAAGGAGGGAAGGAAGGAATGATGGCGTGACGCCTAAACAGGTAGAAGCAGCGGGGACGTAAAGGAAGACGAATGGCCTGGTTTGGGGAGAATGAGAGAAACTGGGGGTAAAGTTTGCAAACAGGCTTCAAGAGCAGGTCGATAAGGGTGGATTTGCTTGGCGAGTGTGCCAGAATAAAACAGGAGAGATGGAGGAACAGAGGGAGGAAAATTTATGTCTATGCGGCTAGACGACCCAGAAACTAGAGAGGCTCAGGCTCATAAAAATGCACTCTGCCCCCCTACTTTTACCCCTCTCTGTTTCTTTTCCCCATCCTCTGCTTCTCCATTTACTTCCCTCCATCACTCTGCTCCTTCCCTTTCTCTCTCTGGAGCAGCCGCTGGAGGTTGTCTGATGTTTTGGGTGGTTGTGTGTCGTTGCCAGAGGTCACGGCAGCCATATTTTCTTAATGGCGGAGTCACCGAAGTCAACAAGGCTGGGTGGCCTTCTGAAGTCAAGTAAAACTAGACTTTTGTGGCAAGAAGACCAAACTGGGGGCAGCAGCGCTTTCTAGAGGTGGATGTTTTTCACCTTGCCGCTGATGGATTACTGTTTGAAAAGTGCCAACAGCTGGAAATGTCATATTTCTGTCTGCAGCGACAACATCATGCAGAGAGGATCTACAGAGGACAAGAGATCTGACATGTTCGCTTTAGAGCTCCGTGAGATTACAGACAAATCTGTGTCTAATGCAATACAAGAGGAATATAAAGACAAACATGTGCTCCTGCATTCTCACACAGTTCCACACACTCTCACAGGCACTTCTCTGCTTGTTCTTTCCTGTTTTTTAGCCCTCGGCATCGCCTGCAGTGAGGCCCGACTTAAAAAAGAAGAACCTTGACACTGACCCTCCTGCACGCAAGCAAACAAGTAAGCAAGCACACAAAGCCACACACACACATGCAATACACACATTCCTGCTGTCATGAACACACATGCATTTGAGTCCGAGCGCACACACTCTGAACAACAGGCCTTGCTGGGTGCAGAGGAGCGAGTGCTTGAGCCTTGACAGGGAGTGACAAATAACTGCAGCAGCCCTGACATGCAGAATGGTCCCTCAGTGAACCTGGCTGACTGATACTCAGCTCCGTGGTGCAGAAAAGCAGTCGGCTCTTTACAGGAGGAGGCAGACACGCAAGCCTGAATTCACCTGGAAGTTAGGCAGGAAGCCACTTCTTACTTCACTGTGAGTTTTTATCAGCCGCTGCACAAACAGAAACCACAACGTTGAGCACGGCACTAAAAAAACTAACTTTGTACTCATGCAAACACCGAGTAGGAACAAGGAAATCTTCTAAAAGCTTCAGAAGGAACTCTAGTTTCTGCCAAAGCAAATAGCTGCAGTTTTGCTCACAATGTCTTTCTGTATGTGCAAAAATAATAACTATAATAAAAAAGATCAATCTTTTGCTTTGTTTAAAAATCAATATTCCTTTTTTTTTCTAATTTAAAAAAAGAGTAACTGAAATGCATTTTAAGATTTTTCTAGACAAAAACCACAGCATGACAATATATTTATTTAATGTAATGATGTGATTGAACAGAAATCCAAATAGGAACTTCATGACACTTTGGCTGTTTGGAGGGTTGTACTGTGAGAGCAGATACATTCAAATCTGTTGTATTTAACCATATTTGAAGACCCCAAATTGAGCTACTGCAGCTTTTGTGGTGGCAAAATATGCCATAATTTCTCATAAACTAGGCAAAATCATGAATGATTCAGCTGATGAGACAATAATATGACCCCAAACTGAAGCCTGAGGTGTAAATCAAACAAGGAGGCTGTAATAGATGCCAATTAAAAGGACAAAATAGTTGAACTGTTTTACCTCATGCTGCCTTGTACGTGTGTAATTGCTCACTGTTGTTTTTCGTTAATCTAACTAGTTATGTGGGAACATTTGTGTGGCTTCTCAACAACATATGCTGCGTTAAAATGTGCTGTGTGTTGAAGGGGGTGTGCGTCAAAGCTGGTGATGTGATAAAAACGTCAGATTCTTTATGTGTTTGTGATTTAAATGAGTGTAATCTGCATGTTTAGGTAACAGCCTGTTAGATAGCTGTGGCACAGCCTGGAGATTTACGATCCAATTCCAGCAACAAGTTAAAAGATGCGAAGAAAAACGCTGAAATCTGCTCCACAAGTCATTTCCAATCCATCATTTAGGCGCAAGTGTGAGTTTAAAAGGTTGGTAAAATGAAATCTAAATCCTTGCAAACACGAATTCTTCAGATCACTTGAGTGTTAATCCTTTTCATTCACCCTGATAAAGGGAAAACACGCCTTGGATCGCCTTTTCCAGCCCATTGACGCAGCTTCACGGCTGTATTACCGGCTCAGTGTCGGAGGGGGCTGTGCGCTCTGATCACCCCTGTAGGACACCAGCACCCCGCCGAGTTGAAAGACCCCTGGCTGCACGGCCGGTGCGGGGCCCTGGCAGGCGGCCCCACGGCCCAACACCGTGCCGCCCACGGAGACGCCTGCCCCGGCCTGCTGATCCCCGCCAAGCCGCTGCTGATTGAAGTGCAGCCGCCTGTTGGCCCCTCACAGCGGGGCCCGGGAAAGAGGAGCGTTTTAGATAATTATTATGTTACTTAGGTGCCATTTACAACACAAGACTTGGAGTTTAGATATCCCACTAACATGCCAATGGTTTCTTTTTCTCCCTCTGGTTAAAATTAAACTTTCTCACTATAATGCTTTTGTTTTCTCACTCTTCTCAATCAACAAAAAGAAGACCAAAGGGCCACATTTGGGCCAAAAAACAATAAAACACTTTGGAAACTATCATCAGCCCGTAAATCCCGCGTCACGACGCACGCTTCAAACTTATTTATGACCCGAGATGAGGCGCAACTTGATTAAAACTCCTTAATTGGACCCTAAATACCTTTAAAGCCAACCTTTAAACGAACCCTCCTGCAGGGAAACCAACACTTTTATGGATTTTTTTTTCTTGCAGATTTAAATCCAAAGTGTTGCACATGTAGTCAAACTGAAATAAAAATTAAACGATGTGTGATGTTTGCAGGCTGCAGATTGTTCGGATTTCCTCAGATTCTGCTGAAGAGAGTTATCACGATTCTTCTATCCCGAGTTAGATGATAATAGCGCAGCTGCAGGGAGGAAAAGGGAGGGAAAGATGGGAGGATGATGGAGGAGTGGAATCAGCGCGGAGATAAAACGATGGAGGGGGTCTACTTCTTCTTCTTCTGCTTCTTCTTCTTCTTCTTCTTCTTCTTCTGTGGCGTTTGTGTGTGTGATAAGGAGGAGGAGTAAAGGAGGAGGAGGAGGAGGAGGAGGGAGGGGGCCAAGAGACCCCGTCGCGTTTTGACCCTCCGAAACCTCCCCGCACACCACCACCACCATCACCACCACCATCACTCCTCCTCCTCTCTCCTCCTCCTCCTCCTCTCCTCTTGAGGCTGAAAACACCATCGCTCATTCCCAGCCGTGACATTTTCCAGCCTGTCGCCGTATGCTGCGCGGACAGCGAGCGCAAGGAGCCAAAAAGGCGAAAAAGAGAAGAGAAGAGAGAGAGAAAGAGGGGGGATAACGCTGCCTTGTCGATCCCGCTCCTCCGACCAGCACCGAGCATCCCGACGCGCTGCGATCCGGAGCGAGAGACGCACCAGGCGGAGGCGAGGCGCTGCAGGAAGCCGCTGCTCTGCTCCAAACCTTCCCGGACTCCACCGGCCCCGAACACGACTGGATACGGCGCGTATTTACGTCTCGGTGGGACATTTTACACCGTTTACCGGAGCCTCGTATTACTCCTCCTCATCAGCCAATTTGCGTTTAATAGGCTCCGAGAATTGTTATAGCCTTTATTACCTCTCAGCCATCACCATTAAGGCTTCCATAGGCAATAAGGTATGAGGATGTGCGTCCATAAAAAGCTCCGGTCCCATCATTAGGCTGTAATATAAAACGCCACGGACTCGGAGTAAACAGAGGGAGCAGGTCCTGACTGTTTTCAATCCGCTGCCTCCTCTGTTTTTGTTGAATCATTACAGGCTTGCTTTTATTCTCTCTCCATCTCTCTCTCTCTCTCTCTCTCTCTCTCTTGTGATGTTAATCATGTTTACAACTTAATTGCTAATAAAAAAAACAAATGCACTTTTTATTTCCAGGACCCCAGAGACAGAGAGGAAGGCAGCACAGCTCGCCGGACTAGCCGAGCGGCGCATCATCATCTCCGGGGTTGGACTGGCTGTCGAGGCGCATGGAGAAGAGGGTAGGTCTGCTTTAATGAGTGCTTTAACCCAGAGCTGCCTGCTCGGAGGGGGGAGACGTATTCTGATATCGCTGCGGAGGAGAAGTAATTAAGAAAAGCCACGGTAATGGGAGCACATGGTTGGGAATCCTCCTTGCAGTGCGCAGTCCGGGTTAGCCGCCGTATGAAAACACAAGGCCCTGTGGAGACCCGAGCACTGGGCTGCTGCTGCTGCTGCTGCTGCTGCTGGCATGGACTTCATGTTTAGGGGACAATTTTAAGGCTTTAAAACTATTTAGAAATTCCCTGCAAGAGCAAATAAATGTTTATACTTGAACACTTTTATCAAGATGCACAAAAAAACTTTTAAAGCTGCTCTCATCCAGAAAGGCTCAGAGGAGGTTGTGAGCAACTTGCAGCGTTGATTTGCATCTCTGGATTCCTTAGAATTACTGTGCCAGTCAGAGCAGGGTTACAGAGTAGGTCATTAAGAGGCAGAGCAGAGCAGAGGAGATGCAGCTCTTCAACTCGGTAAGTAGGTCAGTTTTTTTGCTACAGTGATTCAGAGGCTTGGTGGTGGTGGAGGAGGAGGAACAGGCAGAGGCTGACGGGCAGCAGCAGGACTGAGACCTCAGTGCAAGAAAGCAATTAGAGATGTACAGTGTGTGGACAGAACAATCACTGCTGTATGCAAACAGCAGAGAGAGAGAAGGCCAGACATGCACAGACACAACCACCTGTACCAGCAGCAGCAGCCTCAAAACCGCATTTAAATACAGATGATCCAAAGCAAACAGCAGGAGTAGGTGTAAAATAGACGTTACTTTTTGGGTAGAGTGCGTCATTTGTTGGCACAGGTTGTGTAAGGGGATTACTGGGTGTTAAAAGTTCAATTTGACTGCGTCATTCAGCTCTATATTGTGGTGTTTTTTGTGCACTAATGACGCTGATTAATAAACAGATTTGCAGATTTGTTCTGTCGTGCAAAAAATGTTAGAAAATTCAAAAAAATAAATAATTTGTGGCGTAAAACGCGCGTAAACGTTTGGGAATTTAAAATAGTTCCAGTTGTTTTGAGTCACTCCAATCTGCAACAGGTTCCGTTTAGTTTAGTCTGTTTTACACCCAGTAAAATCTAAGAGTGATTATTTTCAAAAGCTCTAATTGTTGCCCAACAGTTTACATACTTTGGATAACTTTAGTATTTTTTAAGTCCTTGTTGAATAATTTAAATATATTAAAATAGACGTGTTCATTTAATGTGGAGACTTCTGAACTTTATTCCAGCGGTTTGCTTTTCTGTATGTTTTTGAAGGTGAAGAACAAATAGGAAATTTAGTAAATTAGAAAAAAAAAACCCTCTTGTTGGATATTTTCGCTTTGTCTTGACTTTAACCTCAAACAATGTCACGTTTTCACTTTTATAAACTTACGCACCGACAGAACTGAATTTGTTTGATTGTTTTTACTTCGTTATTTGTTGTGTAAAAATTGCGGAAATTTTAAATAAAAACTTTCGCAGTTTAATCAAATGCAGATGTTTATAAAGTTAAATACATTTATTAACGTCTGTTGAAAGAAAAATACGTTTTCTTTTTGTTCATCTCTTCTTTTACAAAATGTCTGACACGTAGTTGGACGCAGTTTCGTCTTTTACTTTTTCTTTTACAAAATGTTTTTTGTCGAATACAAACTCGGTTCCACGGATTCGAAACAGACAAACTGACGCTTTAGAACCCGGCACCAGCAGCCCAAACACGCCTGTTAGGCCTGAAACAACTGTTCGGTTTGAAAATAACACAATTAAAACTCGTAATGAAAATGTTGTCTTGCCATCTGAGGCCTGTTTACCAGCTCCGTGACTTTTAAAAAATGGAAAATTCGCGGAATTTGTCATCTCAACTCGTGCGCTTTGATCCGCTTGACGCACAGAAACTCGATAGGGGCCGTGCGTAAAGAGAGACGCGCAATCCGATAGCGGTGATTGTGTTAATAGCCGGCCTCCATAAAAACTAGAAGGTGTCCGGGGACAGGGCCTCAGAGCAGGTGCTTTCTGTGATCCCGGTGGCCATATGGGACTCTGAAATACAACAATTTGATAAGCCATTTAGGACAGTGGTTCCCAAAGTGGGGTCCGGAGACCTCCAGGGGTCCGGCAGAGGGGTTTCCAGGAGGGCAGTGTGTGCACATGAAGAGGAATAATTTGATTTCCCAGAGGTCGACATAGACAATATGCAAGGATAATTGCATTTATGTTGGGTCTCACTGTTACTGTCTCACCACTTTATGCCTCCATCAAACATTATCTCAAACACTTCTGGACAAAAATCTTGGTGAATTCTGACAGTGAGAAAAATAACTAGAAATGCAGTTTAAACGGCTGCAAATAGAAGAACAGATATAAATGAATCACCTTCCCTGCTGCTACCTCGAGTCACACATTTCTGCAGTAAATCATAGTAAAACCTCTTGTTGCTGCTTGCCGAGGGAATAGTCTCCACAGAAAAACTAGGCTAAGCACATCATAACTTTTATGGCTCAGTTAAAATAACAGTGAAGTGGAAGGTGTCCGGGCCGGGCCACCAAGCCGGGCTGTCGGTCTGTGATCCCGGTGGGCCTGCAGTGGACAGCGAGTCCCTTTAATCCAGCAGAGAGAGAAACAGGAGCAGATCTGCTGACCTGAGCAATGTCGCCTCAGAGACAGAAGCTGCAGTGAGGCACAAATGAGCTCCGTAACACAGAGAGAGGTGGAGGGGGAAGACAAGGGAGTCAGACATGTATATTCATGACATGTATATTCTGAGTGCTGCTGAGTGTATGTTTGTGTCTGGATGTGCATGTGTGCGTCATTGTGTCTGCCAGCGTGCCATATGTGTGTCAGAGCCTCAGCGTTCGGCCCCACTGAGGCTGTCACAGCACGGCTCCCGTCTAGTCTGAGTTTAGGAGGGAGGAGACGACATTAGCAGCTACAGGCTCGCCGCCGTCTTCCTCCGAGGATCTCAGCTCCCTCCTTTCTCATCTTCCTCCTGAGCGCCAGCAGACACAAGACTTTTCAAGAACTAAGAGGAGCTGCTCTTTAATCTTGAATGCGGTGCATGTCTGCTGGCGCTTTTGAAAGGGTTTCACGAGGGTTTCGTAATCCTGAGAGTGGTGGAATTTTACAGCAGAGTGTAGTTCTTGAGCTGAAGTAAAAACAACAACAACAACAAAAAGATGAAGAAATGAGGATACATGCACACACACAGAAGTGGAGTTTAAAGTACAGAAAACTGCACACACACACATCAAATTATTCCTGGAGAAAATAATTGTCAGATAAATCAAGATTGAACAATAATGCCAGCTGAAGCTCTCAAATATCTGCAGAAAAAAAGCAGCAGTAAACTCTAATTTATATTAAACAACGGAACAAAACCCCATCAGGTCGACTGACTGTACGCCAGTCCAGCAAACCCCCCGACAGCTCGGCCACATAATAACATCACAGTCAGGTTTGATGTCAGACAGCCGCAGATGTCTCATGTTTTCTGTCTTTCCATCTAATTGTGTTTCAGTATGAAGAGCTGGTGCACTACTCAGGGTCGGAGGGCATGTCGTTGGGGGGGTACGGGGACGACGTCAGGGCGCTTCCTCCCCCACAGTACGGCCCCACCATCCCCGACTCCCTCAAACACCACAAAGACCAGATCTACGGGTGAGCGTGTGATTTATGTAGCCTGTCAGTGGCTTCATGTGCACTCGCGGCACATTAACATGCAGCACGTACACTGTTTGTGTGGTAAATATGAAAATACATGTAAGTGTTGGCAGCTGTCTGCTTCATAAATACTGTGGTGTAAAGTTTCTCCTAACGCATTCTGTAAATGTGTACACTATGTCAACTGTTAGTGTGTTTATGTAGAGTATGTTAACTGTGTGTGTGTGTGTGTGTGTGTGTGTGTGCAGTCACCCACTGTTTCCACTGCTGGCCTTAGTGTTTGAGAAGTGTGAGCTGGCCACCTGCTCCCCCCGAGACTCCGCCTCCCTCTCGGCCACCTCCCACCTCCCCGGCATGACCAACCACAGCGACGTCTGCTCCTCCGAATCCTTCAACGACGATATCGCCGCCTTTGCAAAGCAGGTAAATGACGGCCGCGAGAGCCAATCAGACAGCAGCTGACATGGAGCCGATTTGTTGTGATTGGTTGAATTTGTGTTGCAGATTCGTTCGGAGAAACCCATATTTTCCTCCAACCCTGAGCTGGACAACTTGGTATGACGCCCCAAGCGACGTCACGCTAAAATATCAAATTCAGCTTCTCACATGTTGCATTATGGGGTATGGCTGCATAATTAACCTGCTTCCTCCTCTCCACAGATGATCCAGGCCATACAAGTCCTTCGCTTTCATTTGTTGGAGTTGGAGAAGGTTGGTGGCACTGCAACACGCTTTTATTTGAATATTTCTTCTTCTGGAAAGCTCTGATGTTATGGTGGCGTCAACAGTATGCACTGATGAGAATACATCTGTGTCCTAAGGTGCACGACCTGTGTGATAACTTCTGCCATCGCTACATCACCTGTCTGAAGGGCAAAATGCCCACAGACCTGGTCCTGGATGAGCGGGAGGGCGGCTCCAAGTCTGACATGGAGGACTTCACTGGATCCTGCACCAGTCTGTCAGAGCAGGTGAGGCACTGAATGTCAAGCAGCCTGTGGGAAGGACTCGGCCGCTCGCATGTCCACCTGAGTCCACTGGAAACCCGAGTAATGACTCTGTTGTTTCATGATTGCTTGTTCTCTCATCTGCTGGGAATTCCCCGTCTTACCTCCAGCCTCCCTCTTTCTCTCCCGCTGCAGAATGCGTCATGGTTACGGGAGCCGGATGAATGTGCCACGACTCCTCTGGGAACACCAGGCACCTGTGGCCTGCCTTCACACAGCACAGCAGACAACTGCAGTGACGCAGGTACACACATGCACACACACACACACACACACACACACACACACACACACACACACACACATGCACACACGCATGCAAATGGAAAATACTGTGTGTGCAAAAACACCGTTGCTCAGTGAAGATGCACGCAGGAAAACAAAGGTGTGCAACCACATCCATGCATGTTTTCTGTCCCTGTTACCTGCAGCGTGTCCTACAATAATAATAATAATGATGATGATGATGATGATGATGATGAAACAAGCTGTTATTGTGTGTATTAACTGGCAATAAATCAATTGGTCACTTTATTTTTAAGCTAAAATAGGAAACATTCTCTGTTTTCAGCTTCTCAAATGAGATAATTGTTGTTTTTCTTTGTCTCATGTGACAGAAAATTAAATATTTTAAGGTTTTTGAGTGTTAGTTGAACAAAACATGCAAACTAAAATAATTACTGTCGTTTTGATCAATGATGGGCGCCATTTTTTTCATATTTTTTGCACGCTTGACAGCAATTTACCAATAAATGAGATCACTGCAGCGCACTGATCATTGATTTAGTAGCTGTTCATAACCAGCAACTCTTTTTAATGCCTCAGTCTGATTAGAGTCCACATAGGGCGGCTTGGGGAGGCTGAAAATGGAGGATTGTGGACACATTTAGGCTTTGACATGATGAAATAATAGCACAGGGAACCATAATAGACACTCATGTCTGCTGTTACTTGAACACGATGGTTCCTCCTGCAGGCGACGGTCTTGACGGAGGCGTGGCGTCTCCCAGCACAGGAGAGGAAGACGAGACCGACAGAGACCGAAGGAACAACAAGAAGAGAGGGATCTTCCCCAAAGTGGCCACAAACATCATGAGAGCGTGGCTTTTCCAGCACCTGTCGGTCAGTTCGCGTTTTCATCTTCTCACTGCATCAGAGTTAATTAATACACCTGGAATTAATGAGCGTGGACAGTAATTCAGACCATCCTTGTAGCCAAACAAAGAAAGCCCGTGTGTTGTAGCGCGCTGCGTGAGAGAATAATCGGTGGAAAAGAGGATTTAGTGTGGGACAAAACGTCACCGACAAGAATAGACAGCGAGGGGAAGCGAGTGTATAATGGAGGTCAATTAAATTAAATGAAAAATCGGGGGATTAAGTGATTATGTGAATATGCTCGCCGTTGAATAATTGTTGAAGTGATAGAAATGGAGTGAGTAATTGTTGGTGAGGTGGTTAGATTGGTAATTAGCTACTAAATGAGGCAGGTCAAATGTTGCTTCACTCCAATTATTACAGAGTGTGAGAGAGAAACACGGGGAGGGAGCGGAGGCTCGGCGAGGTTGAAAATGTGAGAGCAGATGTGAATTCAGATGGAAGGTCATCAATATTCACACTGAGAGTTCACACACATTATTTCACTCTGGAGTTAAGCCACAGCTTCAGGTTGCCTCCAGATGATTCTCCTGTTGATCTGTGTTCTTTTACTGAGGAAAACTGGAAAACATCGCGACCCAAACACACTCTGATGTGGGTTTTTTTTTGCTTTAACTGGACTCTGTGTTCTTGCAGCACCCGTACCCGTCCGAGGAGCAGAAGAAGCAGCTGTCGCAGGACACGGGACTGACCATCTTACAGGTCAACAACTGGTCAGTGCTCTCCTAATCAATGCACTAATTCTGCCCCGCGGCTTATCAATAATCAGTTAAACTGTCTTGTTTAAGATGTAAAGCGTCAACTTTCAAATTAACATGACGGCTGTCGTGTCAATAATATATCAGGAGGACAGTGTGCTGCAGAGATGAGTTGTGTCTTTGCAACCCGCATAAGTTGCATTTTCCATCGTGTGAATAAATGTTAATTAAAAATAGGCGTCGCTTTTACAGGACGTTAACAGACGACTGTAATCTGCTTTATTGGAGTGCGCCCTACAACAGAGGATGAAACGTCCATACCAAGCATTTTTTCCCAAAGCTGCAGTGCCATAAAATCCACTCTCTCCATGTTCATAAAACAGAATTGCAAATCAATGTCCAATAATCAGATTATTTACTGCTCCCAAATTTCCCATTCCCTCTGCAGGCACACACACTGAACACACACACACACACACACACGGCCGAGCTGCTCATCAGATATTTCTTGCAACATGTTCTCCGTGCAGCAGGATTTTATTTAACTGTATGTTAGAACTGAAAAGTATGACTTGTGTGTTAAACAACGGATTTTGTCGTTTGACGGAAGCACGTTTGTATTTGTGTTCCTGCTGCAGCATCACACACAGCAGCACCCGATCAATGCAGATCAATCAATTATCACAGGGCCGATCGATAGCTGCTCTGGCCTAACGCTGATTTACTGTGCCCTCTGAAAGGGTTAAGTGGTTGTAAAAGGGAAAAGGTTAATAGTCTCCCGGTCAGCCTTTTTCTCCATTAACGGGTGGCCTTGTCCGTCCCTCTCTCTCTTCCTCTTTATGTCTCCGGTGAAGGTTCATCAACGCCAGGAGGAGAATCGTGCAGCCGATGATTGACCAGTCAAATCGCTCAGGTCAGCTGCTCACTAATCCTCTCTGCCTGTGTGTATATACTGTACGTAGGAGTGTGTGTCTGAAGGTGTGTGTTGCCTCACAGGTCAGGGGGGTCCCTACAGCCCAGAGGGAGCAGCTCTCGGGGGCTACGGCCTCGACGGACAGGCCCACCTCGGGCTTCGAACGGCAGGTACGGCAGCCTGCAGGGACACTAGCGATAAGGATCTGGTGATGTGATCCTGCTATCTTATTCCTCGGTGCCACGGGGTGTTAAACACACACTCTGTTGCACTGGGTGACACATTCCTTCCTACACACACACACACACACACACACACACACACACACACACACCAACACTGCAGTTCAGTCTGATTCAGTCCCACATTCACCGGCCTGCTGCTGGAGACACTCACTGGAACACCGAAAACAGATTAGAAATGATGACATCACGCTAATTAGAAATGACCACGACGTCATCATGACATGAGAGCGTTTGTTTTTGATTTGTGCCGTAAAGTTGGAGTCAACAGAAAGTATGAAGAGGTTTTAGTTTTGGTCTTTTTAGGCCTGTTTGGATCCTTTATTGTCATGGTTTGGTCACATTTAGCGTTAAAAACTCCCCGAAGAAGGCTTCAGGTCGAAACATGTCAGAGTTTTTTAGGTTCAGCGTGACCATGCTGTGATAATAAAAGTATTTTAACTGTGAAACAAGAGAGCGTTTTGGAGTTTTTCAGATTTTCAGCGTGAATCTACTCCAGTACTTCCACTCTACCTTGAAAAAAAAGAAATATGCTTTGGCCTTATAGGGGAGAAAGCTTTAATAACAAACAGGAGTTAAATATTTGTACTTGAGATAAATCATTAAACACTATAATTATAGAGACTCAGCAGCTATAATATTTAGCAACGTTTCTGCTACCTTCATGTGGAAAGTTTTGGATTGAATCTTTAATTGTCACTGACAGATTTATTTGTACACAAAATCTGTTTTCTGCCACTTAAAAAAAAAAAACCCATTTTATCTCAGTTATTACAAACTCATGCTGTGCTGCCTGACGTTGTTATTCTAACTCTGGCAGAGAGCCCAAAGTGTCCGTAGATACCACATATATCCGTCTGAATGTTTAGGAAAACGTGTCTAAAATGACATCCAGATGATTCTCTTATTAAAAGCATGAGATCTTTTTGTGTAAACATCGTGGAGCTTCGTTAAGATCTGGAACGAGCAGATACAGAAAGTGATGAGTTGAACTGGATGATTTCTTTTTTTTTTTTACTATATTAAAGTAAAGAGCAGGAGAATAGTTGCACACTTTAGTGGATATGAACCAAATCAATATAATTTAAAACTTACAAATAGAATATTTTGGTAATAATTGTTCCAAAAGATACATTAAATGCTGATTGTTAAACACAAACACACAGAAGTCAGCGCTACGGTTTATTCATGGAGCTTGTATTTATTCTGCTTTTAGCCTTTATTGCATGACTATAAAATAACATGACTGTTGTGAGGCTGTTTCGTGTCACAAGCCCAACATCTGGATGCTTCAACCACCTTCAGTCGTATTTTGTGGGTTGTGGACTTTGAGAATCACTGTTCAAACTTGTTGACGTTTTAATCTCTAAGATAATAAACATTTAAAAAATGAGCAAATTTAGGTGTAAATTGTGGTTTTAGTTCGTTTCTAGTCCAACCTACAGTCTGCACTCTGCAATACAGGTCGGAATACGACTCAGCAACATATAATTAGTAATTTAAATGTTCATTTGCAAAAACAGATAACTCCGGTTTTTGGAGATTTTCAGAAAACTTGTTTTTTTGTTGTTTGCTTGAGATGATATCAATCAAACTGAAGCTGAGTGGATTTGACTCAGTAGAAATGACAACAACAGAGAAAACCGAAGTTAAGTAGACGATGGAAAAGTGGGTTTTGAAATTAGTGAGTTGTCTGTTTTTTGCTCTTCAAATGCTCTTCTTCACTCGAACTTTCAGGCTAGTTAACCTCCTATTACCTTCAAATTTACTGACATCTTTCATCCTTGGGTTCAAGTTGAACCCAGCAATTACAGCCTCCAGAAAATATCATCATTAAAATTGTTACCCAAGCTTATGTGAAGAGTTCATTTGCAAAAACAGATAACTCCATCTTCACAAACCTTCATGAACCCACTTTTCCATCGTCCACCTGAGACAACGTCAGTCAAACTTAAGTTATCTCTGTTGTTGTCGTTTCTACTGAGTCAAATCCACTCAGCTTCAGTCTGATTGATTTTAACTCAAGCAAACAACAAAAATAAGTTTTCTGAGAATCTACAAAAATTGAGTTTTACAAATGAACTCTTCATGTGTAAATACGCCTTTAAGTAAAACTGATAAAATGATATCAGTGACTTATTTAGAGATGTGAAACACTGCAGAGCGTTGAACTGTTCTGTGCTTTACCTGCACATTCCCTGAACCCTCACGGACATTTGTCGCCCCTCCAGGTCTCCAGGGGATGTCCTCTCTGCAGGGCGACTACCCCGGCGCCCTGCTGTCCCAGCCCGGCTACCCCCCTCACCCAGGACCGTCCCTCCACTCGTACCCGGGCCCCCACCCTCACGCCGCCATGCTGCTGCACCCGCCGCCACACGCACACCCCGCAGAGCCGCTCCTCGCCCAAGGACTGGACATACACGCACACTAGCCGCGGCGGGGAGTCGGTCGGCGTGTGCGTTCGCGACGGTCGGGGGGGGACACATGACTGTATGAATGCGTGTGTGTGTGTGTGTGTGTGTGGTGGGAGGATGTGTATGCATGTGTGTGTGTGTGTATGTGTGTGTGTGTATGTGTAATGACGCATATAGTACACTATTTAAAGAAAAAAGACACATTGCTCTGAAAGTTTACATTCCCCACTGAAAGACACTGACCTCAATGTAGCTGTTCCACCCATTAACACACACACACACACACACACACACACACGCACACGAGTAGACATAAACATGACACACACACACACACACACACTTCAGTCTGGACCCACAGGTTTAAGCCATACCTCTTTCAGAGTAGAAGTGCTTCCTCCTCTCCAAACGTCTCCACTGTGTCCTGTGGGCGAGACACATGCTTTAAACTACACTTCCCATCATGCCTGCTGAACCACAGGAAGACGCCGGATCGGATCGCAGATAGAGGTGAAGGTTCATCACCAGACTGTTCTCCGCGGCACACGGACGTAGCTGGAGTCGATCCTGTGAACACGCCTTCGTCACGAGTCCCTGTCTTCCTGCACACGTTGACTGTCAAAGACTCACACACACACACACACACACACCGTCTCACACACACTTTATTTAAAGCTTTTTTTGAGTTCTTTCTTATTCTATTTTTATATTTATGTGTGCCACTCCAGGCGGATGCAGCTTCACGTGAGCTTGTCGAAATGTTAGTGCTCTTCCTCAGCATGAAGCTAAAACACTATGAATGACTTCCAGTCTGCCTCGCTCTCGTACCACTGACCTCCTTAAGACGCCAACAGGTGTCCGTTACCTTAGGATCCTTCCTGCACACACGCAAACACAACACACACACACACACACAGTCATAGCAACAGACACGACACTGAAAGCCATTCCTACACACACACACACATACAGACACACACACACAGACTTCTGTAAGCATTTCTAGTACATTGTTGTCTGTCACGGCGGCGCGCGAGAGGAGCTGCAGCCAAAGGACTCTTCAAACATTCGGCTCCTTCTCCGCTCTGCTCGGACTGCTGACGTATTTCTGAATGATGTTGATGACGATGGGAAATACAGTTAAAGTATTAAAATGTTTTTTTTGTAAGACTTGTCGCCTGTCGTCTGTCTGTGTGTGTGCGTGTGTGTGTGTGTGTGTGTGTGTGTGTGTGTAGGAATGGCTTTCAGTGTCGTGTCTGTTGCTATGACTGTGTGTGTGTGTGTGTTGTGATTCTAGCTGCAGCCAGATCGGCGAAAAAGACTTTTAAAGGTCATTTTAAGAGGAATATAGTAAATACTAGTGAACCAAAACTATAGTCTGTCACCCACTGGGCCTCATTTTCACACAACATAGTGTTTTGTTTTCGTTCCTGGGCTTTATATATATATATATATATAATAAACTTTATTTTTATAGCACTTTTTAAGAACAAAATTCACAAAGCGCTTCACAACACACAGAGACAAAATCAACAACATGTATAAATGCAGGCAAACAATCAAAATATAAAATCCATACAACAAAAAAGGAAAAGAACAGGTTGGGTCATTGTGGGAAGGTGTACTAGTAAAACTGATTAAAAAGACGACATCACAGAGGGAATGAAGATAAAAGTAGATTAAGAAAGAGAGACGGACAGCAGCAGGACCGACGGGTGAAAATCTAAAAGAGAACGTCACTCAAAAGCGAGTCTACAAACGTGGGTTTTAAGAAGTGATTTAAAAGAAGGCTAAAACAAATATCCTCAGAGGAGCCGGTGCTTGGATTTTCTTGATTTATGAGTGTGCATGAAGCCTGCACGCTGCACACAAACTAAATTGAAGTTTTAGCTAAATCGTAGAATATATTTAATCAGCAGCTTTTGTGCCATTTATCTATTAGCTGAAAAAGATGCAGCAAGCATATAAATGGATATATTATCCACCAACAAGCACCAGCAGCTCCTTACATTTATCATTCTGCAATCTCTGCAACAAAATAAATCCCACTAACTTTTTATTTTTTTTAAATGATCATTAAAGTAGAAGAAGACAACAAAAATGTCATTTTAGTAAAATTGCTGTCATGTCGCCTCATTTGTAACAGAGACCTGAATGTAAGAAACAACAGAAACAAGACACACAGACACAGACACAGAGATTAAATCCATTAATGGGATGAGATGTTAAAGCTTCGATGTCCTTTGAAGTTCACTTGATGGATTATTTACTGCTGAGGTTTGAGGCGACAAAGTCAACGCTAAAGGATGAACGTTTGTTATTTTAATGTTTGCATTCTCCACATGTGAAACAGAAATGAATGCAGGCATTTCAACAAAGTTAGGGTTTGTGTTGTTCCAAATTTTGACGCCAAGATTTTTATTTTTACTGCAAATTCATTTCTGTTCCCCGGCGTAAACCAGCAGCTCATCTCTGGTGGCAGCAAAACATTTAACTGTGACATGAAGAGAATAAAAATGAATCTAAATGCCATCATAATAATATTCATACAGATTGTAAATAATAATGCACCAAACACACAGCACTAATCATTATTTTACACCACAAGACATGAAGCAGACTTCATCTCTCTCACCACCTGTTTGCTTCTCAGCAGTGGAAGAAACGTTCAGATCAATACAGCAATCAAACGTATTCAATTAAAAGTCCTGCATGAAAATCAGTTTAATGTTTAGTGTTAAAGCAGAAGTCCTGGTTTGACTGATGTCTTATTATTTATGACCTCATTAGACGATGAACAGTGAAGCTGCACATCTGAACTACTTCATACAGTTTTATTTACAGAGACTGCAGGTGAATCTGAGGCTGCAAACACGAATAAAGAGAGAAGAAACGAAGATACACCGATCTGTGTTTGGACTGTTAACAACTCATCTGAAACGTGAGTATTTGCATTTGTATTTTATTTCTAACAATCAAGTAAAATACCTTAAAAATTGCTCTGAAATGCAGTGAATAAACGCTCCCTGTTACTTTGCACCACTGCTGTTAGTGTAGTTAATAACGTTGCGTGTAACACCTCTGGCTTTACGTTTTCTTTCAAGTTTCTGTCTTGCAATTGGCTTAAATGTGTGAATGTGTTCTTAATATAGGTTTGTACCAAAAATGAGTAGACATTTATCTGTGTGTAAAAGCACATTGATCCTTTTTTGGAAAACAAACAGACACCAGAATCATCTCATGTCTGACTGAAGGTTCCTGTTTTACACCATAAATGAGCAGCATGAGGTTATGAGCACTCCTAACAAGGACTGAACTGCTCTGTAGTGCATGCTATCAGATACTACGTGGTCCTGCATAGTGTTAGTTTGTACTTTAGAACAGACATACAGTCGATGTCTTGACAGAAAGTTTAGGAGCTGAGAGAAAATACGACTCAGAAATGTGACCACAGCAGCAGCAGAGGGCATCTACTCTGAGTTTCAGCCAATATGTGGACATCATCCATATTAATATCATGCACATCCAGAATTCTTCTGCAGGAGTCAAAAAATAACACAAAATAAATAAATGAGTGCGAAACAAACACGACTAACGATAATCAGGCCAAGAACAGAAACACCTGATCCAAACACAGCTATTCACATCCATAAGACCTTCTCTTTAAAAACGCTCTCATCGTCCTCCTTTTTTGTTTTTTCCTTCCACTCATAAGTCACGTCAGCGGCTCGTCTCCTCTGACTATCGGTTTATCTCAGACGGAGGCCTCAGGCTGCAGCTGCAGTCATCTGTCACACGGGCTGGATTATCACGGGGAGGAAAGATCTCTTCAAATGCTTTATGGCGCAGACCAGAGCTCACATCCGTCTCTCCTTTTCATTCATCACTTGAATTAAGAATTATATCGCAAGTCTTCACCTCTGCATGTTTGCTCGTGATGCACACGTCGCGTCCGAACCTTCACCTCTCGTCTGCTCCACAATCAAACGCATAATTCCACCCTTTGCCACCCTGCGTCCACCCACAGCACCCCGAGCACACCACAAAACACTAAATACACCACCTTGGCCCTCCCCCCATGTGGCCCGGGGCAGGAGGGGGGGTCAGGGGCCAGAGTTCGGACAGAGGTCAACAGGAAATGGCTGTTCTCGGCGGCGCCCAGGTCCTGACCTCAGCAGCCCTCCACTTTTCTTTTCTCTTTGTGCCTCCACACACTCGGCGCTCGGCCTCGCTGCTCGGGACGGGCCCCTCACTTTTACTCTTTCACCTCCTTGTTTGTTTGCCTGGTAATCTTTTTCACAGCACTGTCATGTAAAGCAGCGCCGCCGCTTTTGTTTCAGGACGACCTCCGAGAGTTGGACACTGAACTCCGGTCTGCGGCAAAACCGGTGATGGGAAAAGATTTACATGTGAAATAGTTTATGACAAAACTTCCCTTTACTTGATAAATTAAATAAACAGTCAGCCAAGAACTGTGCTGACGTGTGATTAAACCAACACGAGAAGTAATCAGGAGTCTCATGACGTGTTTCCTCAGATCAGAAAAACTACAAAAGACAAAAAAGGAATCAGTTTTTGTGTTAGGAATTTTAAAGTGAATCCATTTCAGTGTCTTTCTTGCACATTAAATGAAGAAGTGAGACAGATTAAGGGGAAGACCAGCCATAAAGTGCTGAACCATCTTGGTACTGAGTCTCCAATGCTCCTCTAGTGGAGGGATGAACACCATCTTCCTAAAGACTGATGTTTTGATGGTGGAGGTGGAGGATGCTGAGTAACACGTTGGTCGAAAGTGTCAAACACACTCCTGCACTGTCTAATGTGAGGGCTGTTGAGCATTTTAATATAGTGTTTTTTTTTACTTTCTTTATGTTATCTTCAGTCAAATGATGTGAAGTTTAGAAACTCGGCTGCAGAGTTACAGCCACTGCCCTCGAAGACAGCTGCTTTCTGTAACAAATCATTTGCCTGATGAAGGTCGAGACTCAAATGTTGAAAATAAATGTATTTCTGCAAG